TTAGCTCGGTAATTTGATGGATAAACATTATTTATCAATCAAATTGATAGCGTTTTCGATTTGCTGACTCGACCCGACTCAGAGTCGGGTCGAGTCAGATCTCAAGTTCGATTTAAAACTCGATATCTTTAGGAACGCACTCAGTATCATGACGGAAGGTGTGTCTCCTAACCTATTACTGATAGTTCACGAAAGCTCTAGCACTATTATAGCACATTATACTTCATACTTCAAGAGATTTCGCGAAAATTTTTCAGCTCGTATTAAGTAAATGTAATAAATATAACAATGAGTGGATTAGGTAAGAAATTTGTACTATGTTAGTAATTACTGTTAATTATAAAATTATGTTACCTTATCAAAAAGAAGAGTCGCGCTTCAAGTGATCTATTACAATTACAAAAAGACAATAAGCTTTGGATTTGTTCCGATATATATAAAAAAAGTAAGATAAGCAAAATGCAACAAAAGTAAAATAAAAAAATGGTGCAAATTAGAAATTTGCTCATGGCTTCCTCATAGAGGAAGTGATATGTCGATGCTAATACGGCCCTCTGATTGGCTGATGACGTCTTAAAACTATACTTAAGACGATTCATTGAATACCGGCCTTAAAGAATTATATATAAAAAAAAATCGGTAACCCCTTTATTATTAACAATTTTTAATATATCTATTATATTCTTCAGTCTTTTCTACCCCTATTTCATATATAATTGATTAAGATTTGGTTGATCAGTTCTGGAGTTATAGAAATTTCGGTAAATTTGGCACATACATACATACACACATACACACATACATACACACATACATACACACATACCGACATTTTTTAAAATAGCGATTTTTCAACGTTTTAGAACATTCTGAACACATTGGCAAAAGCAACTAAAAAAAAATTTTTTTTACGAAAACAAAGCTTCCTCTATGAGGAAGCAATAAGGTAAGTAGAGTTCTTCGCGTTTTTAAGATAATTCGAAAAATCCACGGCTAAATCAGTTTCATCTGCTTCCTCACCAAAAAGATCTTTTTTGTTTTATTTCAGAAAAACAAAAATAAAAAATTCAAATATAAGGGGTATAACGGTTATAAAAAGTACAGCCCGTCTGATTTGAGACGGGCTGTAAAAGCCGTCAAACAAGGAAAAAAGAATGCGGTAGATGCGGCCTAATTCCCCGCGCAACTTTATACAGCCATTTAAAAAAAAATAAGGTAAGTAGAGTTCTTCGCGTTTTTACGATAATTCGAAAAATCCACGGTTAAATCAGTTTCATCTGCTTCCTCACCAAGGAGATCTTTTTTGTTTTATTTCAGGAAAAAAAATATAAAAGACTCAAATACAAGGGTTACAAAAAATACAGCCCGTCTGATTTGAGATGGGCTGTAAAAGCCGTGAAGAAAGGAAAAAAAGATGCGGTAAATGCGGCCCAAAAATTCGGGATTCCCCGCGCAACTTTATGCAGACATTTTAAAAAAATATATAAAAGACTCAAATGCAAGGGTTACAGAAAATACAGCCCGTCTAATTTGGAAAGTAACAACTTTCCTCCCTGGCGTGAAATTGGAAACTTTCCGTGGAGATGTTGTGAAAACGGATGTATTCAACATGGCCTGTTTTGCTCGTATTGGCGATGCAAGACTAATGCGTAATGGTAACGCGTGTATCATCAATCTACCCCACTTGAACCAACACAGTGATATAGTCATGTATTTAAATTAATTTTTTTCTGACGCTTTGCGACATGTAATTTGAACGTTAAATTGCTTTTATTTCTAATTTAGAAATTACATCAACTGACCAAAACCTATAGTCGAAATTAATAATGTCTCGATGATGATCTGAAAAAGTGCTGTGTGAATCCGACAAACCAAGTTGGCTCACAGTTTTTCGATGTTCATATAGGAAAAGACGTTATATATTGCCAGTTACGGTCGATTTAAAGTACTTTAATTGTTATTCTATTCACTGGCGAAAGAAATTTATTATTCTGTTTAATATAAAAGTTACTCTCTTTATGCAAGAATTCATGTATGAAAAAAATATGGGATTATCTGGGAGCACCATATATTTTCGCTTCGTTTACATTTGCTGCTCACTCTGCTTTTTTCCACTCCAAGTCACATAAAACCTATTTTAGATCTTACGAAGAACCCTTTCTATCGGTGGACCATATTGACGCTAATTAAACGGGCACTCAAAAGTTGACTAACCGTCAATTGCAGCTCAGCGCATTGAGAGCGACTCCCCTTTGCGATTTCCGGCTAAATGCGGATTAACATCATTCAGAGTTTATAACTAACATTTGAAATGAAAACGGCACCACGCATATCAAAGGTCTTAAATTTTTATAATTCTGCGATCAGTATGGAGGGCTTTTCAGATTAAAGATCAAAGCTTAATTTTTACAAAGTGAAAATAAAAATTTATAACTTTGTAAAATGATTAAAAATAGATGATTTAACGTAAATTTCAAATAAAAAAGATTCAAATGTTTGTATGAGGATGTTTAAAATTCATATTCTGGGAAATGGCGTATAGTGGTGAAAGGGTTAAGGAGCCATAATTTATGCGCCAAGTGACATATGTCTTCGAAGAAATCCGCATGCGAATCAAAGAGTGAGATGCTGCCACATGTGCTGCTAAATTTACTTAATGCCTCTGCGAAAGTATAGGGTAAGAGAAAGTAAATTGGGAAAGAATTGCTGGGTAGACGGTTTATAAAAATCCCATTAAAAAATCATTACTACTGTATCTTAACTTGTTTT